AGATAGATAGATAGATAGATAGATAGATAGATAGATAGATAGATAGACAGACAGACAGACAGATAAGATAGATAGATAGATAGATAGATAGATAGATAGATAGATAGATAGATAGATAGATAGATAGATAGATAGATATAATTTTTTTTAGTTGATCTAAACAAGCAATTAGAGTTTCTGTAGCTATATTTAATAATAAAATAAGAGACATGACCTGAGACCAGGTATTTCAACTTGTCACTGCAATGCTAACTATAATTTAAATATTATATATAATAAAGCTACTGTATTATGCACAACAAAAGCATCAATAATCTTTTATGCTCAGAGTAAAACAGCACAAGAGTAACATTCAAAAATCATTTTAAGAAAATGACAGGTTGTAGGAAAGGAATGGAAATCTATATTTCTAAATTTTGTTTATCTATATTCATGAATAAAAGCTTACACACTTCATTTACAAGTTCTGCTGCTACAATCACACTTGAACTTTCCTTTGAATTTTACTTTTTGAAAATGTACAAAATCCATCAAGGAACTTTTGACATTATGTTTAATTTGGTTCTTATTGTATTAGTTAGCTTTTTAAAATTTACACCCCTATTTAAGAAATTATGAAATGAATCAAAATAATCTACATTAGTTCCTTTACTTATACAGGTAGTCTTCGATTTACAACTAAAAATTGAGCCCAGCATTTCTGCTACAAAGCAAGACAGTTGTTAAGGGAGTTTTGCCCCATTTTACAACCTTTCTTGCCACAGTTGTTAAGTGACTCACTGCAGTTGTTAAGTTAATAACACTGTTGTTAAGTGAATCTCGGGTCCCCATTGCCTTTGCTTGATGTAACGTCAATCACTTGACCCTGGGACACTAAAACCATCATAAATATGAGTCAGTTGCTAAGCGTTTGAATTTTTATCGTGTAACCATGAGGATGAACAATCGTAAGTGTGAAAAACAGTCATGAGTCACTTTTCTCAGTGCAGTGTAACTTTGAACAGTCACTAAACAAACTGTTGTAAGTCAAGGACTATCTGTATAAAAAATAACATTTTGTCCTGAAATTTAAGGTTGAAATCTCCAGGCAAAGAGATCCTCAAACTAATCAAAGTTACAAATCAAATCAAACAAACCAATTGATGAGCTCCATATTACTTTGAGTTTGCCAGGCCCACTAGGCAAACTCATATTTTCAGCTTTTGAAGTTCCTTTTATAAGGCATTAAACATTGAGAACCTTTGTCAGAGAAGATTACAGACTTCGACTATACTCAAGGAAATATTCAATCTCAAGAAGTAGTAGTTTGCATTTATTTATCACAGAACAGTAAACAGTGAATATTTGTTCTCCATTGCATATAAAACTTTTCTGAGAGTATATTTTACAATATGTAACAATTTTAATTGCTGTCAACTATTTGATTTGAACAGCAATTAAATAAAATGGACATGCAATACATATAATCCATGCTATCATGCTTACGCAAAAATGCATACGACTGCAAACAAATATATAGAACTGTATAATTTGTGCACAAAATCTACTACCCTTGAATAAAACATGTCAAGTAGTTGGGGCTAAATATATTGCTTACTTAGTGTTACCAAAATGGGGAGTATGTCAACTGAGTGAACCTTGAAAACTGGGAGTTTAAACTGTGGAGACTAGCTTGAGAAGCATTGCCTAAATAAGTATGTAAATAAATAAAATAGGTCACATGACTGGAACTTTGATATTTAAGCATAGGAATGCCTGTTTCATCACTAACTAGACTCATTGAGAATGAAAGTAAGAGTAGCTATATTGATTTTAACTCCCTTCTTATAGACAAGAAAGATAGTAAAGTGGAAGGGAAATGTTAAATATCTGAAGTGGGCTCCACTATTTATGTATAATGTCTTTGTATAAATCAGGGACTGAAGAATGTCGTTTCTGCCCAAAGATGATTTGCTGATTTATTTTTCTTTTAAAATAGTATATTCCAGAATTCAAAGGACTGTTAACATTTTAACGGCTCACATGCAAAGTAAAATGATTTCCATTCATATTTTTTCTCCTTAACAACTAACATTGTATCAATATATAAATATCATAATGCCTCAATATAGTTTATTTATCATCCTTGTTTCTTTTCTTGCAATCTATGTAAACCTATATATTAGAAACAATTAGTGACATTTGCTTGTGAAAATTAAAAATCAAGTTTTCATTATGTGGTTACAAAAGTGAAAAGTAAGGGTAGTGAAAGAAGTGGGAGCAATAGCTGAAAACTTGAGTGCAGAAAGAAGTAACACAACTGCAAACCTCTGAAGAGTAAGGCCTGCGAAGAACCAAACTCTTTGGATAAAAGAAATCAGATGAGGAAAGCTGTTATAAAACAGAAACAAGAAGGAAAAGTGAAAAAGGGAGATAGGTTCCTAAACATATATATTACAGAGAAGTTCCTCCCTTTCCATAAAAATTATCTCCTGATAATCATTGTGATATTTGGTACATGACAGCAATCCACACCCAAAAAATTGATTATGGGCCATGTTAGAAAGCAATAAACATTCCCCACAGTTTTATACCCGATTACTTTATTTCCTGCTTTTTCTGGCATATGTAACTTCTTTGGAAATCTCCCAAGAGGAATGGATCTTAAATAATCATTGTTTTTATGGACTCCACCTAAAATCTAACCCAGCAGGAACGCTTGATAATAAGAAGCATGCAGTCCAAGATCCGCTGTAGACAATATGCTGTATAATGTACTGATGACTGATGAAGCTATTTCAACAAGTAATTCTGGTGGTATGTATTTTGATTGTCAGGGGAAATACAATGAGAACAGTTTTGATTCTCTGTAGCACTATACATTTTTTGGAACTACTGTTTTTCAAGAAATAGAGTTTATACGTTAGATGCAAAACTTCTTTTATGCTGAACCAGACAAGCACTTGTTCATGGGACGGAAAGGAAAGAATGGCTGCAGTTTCCTTGGAAACAGGAAATTTTGCTAAATGGTTTTGAAAGGTCAATAACACTTAACTGAAGAATTATTACCACACCAATAACAACAGATAAACAATCTGGTCAACAGCATGTTCGGATCTTCAACTTAGAGATGAACTAATCGTACAATAAATGTGTTAGTTTATTAGCATTTATATCCTGCCCACATCCCAAGATCCAGACAGTTAACAACCATTTAAAAAGAACCATACTTCTGACTTTACTATTTATCAATAGCTGAATCTTTGTGGCTACTTAAATTAGCCTTACAAATAGGGTATTTAAGGAATAGATCTATATGCTAGGCATCAACACAGACTCAAAGACGTACACACCCACAAAATGAAGCCAAATGAAGATAATGATGCAAAACTTAAAGGGATGGATATATTTGTGTGGAACACAAACAACTACTGACAACATCCCATTTAATAATGCAAATAATGGTTTGTTCATACACATAACAAGGAAAATAATTTTGCTGATGCCTGTTTTCTTTATGTTCCTTCTCTCAAAAAATCCAATTTTTCCAGTGTAGAGTAGCAAAAAATCTTTTAGGAAAATATGGAAAATAAAGTTTGTTCCTTCCTTTAACCAGTGGGAACCTTTTCTGGATCTCATTCATTTCAGGAATAGAACAAAAAATCCAGATACAGATAGGATCAGTCAGAATGGAATATATTACCTTGAAACTTTAAAATGATGGAAGTTAATTTATGTATTTATGAAATTTATAAACTTCTGAACTGTATGACAGTGTAAGGGTATAGAAAGGGAAACATGTCAAAATGACAGGTGAATTAAAACAATAATAAAATGCACCACATTTTTCTCCAAGGCCTTCTTTGGGACACTGAAATACTATTTTCCTAGAAAGGCAATAAAACTTTGCCATAATATAATGCAATGTTACATGACTGTTTTTCAGAAATTCTAAATGCTTTTATTCCTTTTGTTTTCTTCATAGAATCTGAACAACATCCTGTTGTTCTACCCACATATGGAAGAATATTCTATTAGTTATGAGTATGCAAGCCAATAAGATATTGGATTATATTGTCAGTTTATAACATAATCATGATGTCAGTTTATATAATCATCAATGATTCATGATTCCTTTTTCTTTAATGGAATTCAGAATGATAAAATACATAAATTGGCAGAGATTTTATACATTATCTATTCTTATTTTTTGCTGAGATTTATCCTACAGTCATATTAACTTTAAATAAATAAACAGGATCACATCCTTAAGTTAAGGCTGTAAAAAACACTTCCAGTTTCCAAAGAAATCATATAAAATTAAATTTTTACTTACAGCCCAAAGCCAAACACAAGAAAAAGATCAACAGTACAATTATAAAAAATAATTTTTAAAATGTGCAAAAAAAGTAATATTTTTAAGTGAAACAAATCATCATATAGTTTTAAAAAATTCAGAAAATGCAAATTACTTCTTACCCTTAGCTTTTCATCTCCCTTTGTAGACAGTTTACAGTCGGGATGCCAAACTGTAGAACCTATTGTGGAAAAAATCAAGATAAATCATATTACATTTTATTCAGCTCAGAAGAAATTTGTTTAAAATAGGGACTTTAATACTTCCCACTTTTCTTAACTCTAGAAACTTCTGCAGTAGCATCTTGACTTGAATTAGCCTCTTAAAAAAAAAAAGACTTAAATTCTATTTTGTAATATTCTGTTTATGTACAATTAATCACATACTGCAAAATTCCCAGAAGCAAGTATGCAGCACACAGTGCAATGTCAATGCATCAATGTCTCAAACAGTTAACTCGTTAGGCAGATTTACTTTTTCCAGTAAGTCTTCCCAGATTTACTTCCTTCAACATTGATTCAGCTGGAGAAAATAACTGTCAGAGCACCCTGCTTCAAAATAAAAAGGTACACTGCTTCTCCATTGCTTAGCAACCAGAAAGATCAGACTAAATAAAACGTTAGTTTTGAATAGACTTTTCAATTATCGAACGTCTTTTTTCTCATATTCTACTGCCACCTCCATGGATCTATTAGCAGACTAGATGTCCCTTTCCTGGTGCCTTTTTGGAGCACCCTAAATTGGCTCAGAATATTGAAATGTTTTCCTGAGACAGATTTGGAGACCATGGATGCAAAGCAAAAGGAGATGTGGGTGAAAAAAAGAAAAATTCAGTGCTATGAGCATAACTTAGATTTAGACTGCATTAAGGCAGAAGCCAAGCTTCTTATTCAACAGGAAGATGTGACAAAAATTTCCATGTTCTTTGGCGCACAGACAAATCTAATGCAACTATATAGTGAACACACTACCCTGAAACTGAAGTTTCTTTTTTAAACTTCTGGATTATATAGTTTTGCACTGAATAACATTCTTTAAGAAAAGTTTAAAATTTCAAAACAAACAAACAAACCCTGCATTCTGTTTTTTGTTGCTGATAAATAATGGAAATATATTATAGTCACAAGAGCACTAGAAGAAACTTGTTTTCCTACAGTAAATTCTGGTACTTATTTTCAGTTTAAAAGAAAAGAAAAAAGAAAAAGCAAACAAGTTATTTACCTATGTTTAGATTCAGGAAATTGTTTGTTGATTTATACATTAACCTTATTTTATTATTTCTGAATAACACACCTGGATAGGTATATGAATTGAAGCAAGGCAATATTTTTATATTTGGTCAGAACCAGAAAAAAATATATGAAAGAAAATCCCAAGAGATTAATTAATGACACTGAAAGCAAAACAGTTCTATTATAACCTCAGTTCAGCCTTGAAGACCCTGTTAACATGTTTCTGGAGGGCAGGTACTGTGACAAAGAAAGTGAGCTTCCAGGTTTCTGGTTTGGGTCTCTTCAGTGACAGACCAAAATCTGCGATCATGCGCGGTTTCGATCTGTGCTCGCCGCTGGAGCACCCCAATCCTTTGGATTCGGGGCTGAACCCACCCCGTAGAAGTGGTGAAGAGGGGGAAGATTGCTAACCGAGTGGAGGGGAGCCGCATCTCTCCTCCTTGGCTGGTCTAAACTCCTTTCCCGAAGGCGGTTGCAGCGGTGGTCAGAAATGGCCACCTCAAAGAAGAACCCGACTGCATAAGATTGTGCAGGAGGAAGACAAAGAGGAAAGCAGGACAGACTGGGCTAAACAACAGAGAACTTCTAAGCAAGGTACCCTGAATTTAAAAGTACTTAGAGGGATACTTCTGAAAGAAGATTTTTAAGTGCCGAAGGAAGGAGAAAAGAAGGTTAAAACCCCTTTTTTTAACCTTTATATTGACAATTACAAATGGTATGGAAAGAAATTTATGTTAATCTATTTTGACACTAATAGGCAACTTTAAGCTGAAATCTAAGTGTTAAAAGGAAAATAAAGATTTTTTCTTGGTCATTTTAAAGCCCTAAAAAGGAGAAGAGCGGAGGCAAAAGGGTGAAACTTGGAATAATGAAAAAAATGGAGTGCCACCTGGAAAAATAAAGAGGATTAACAGTGAAACTTTGAAAAGACTCCCGAGGATACATTGTAACAGAAATCTTATTAAAAGATACAGTAACCCACAGAAAGGAAAAGTAAAGGAAAGAAACAAGAAGGAACAGTCTGGAATCATTTGGTGATTTTAAAAAAAAGTTTTCTTTTTCTGTTTTTACTTAAAGTCAATTGGGTGGTTGTTCAAAAGTGTTTAAAATGGCATCATTCCTGGAGGAATTGAAGATGAGAGAAGATGCAGAAAGAGGAGGAAGATCCTTTGACTTCGTATTTGAATTTTTTGAAATGGAAATCCTGAACTATGAAAAGCAAAAGGAAAAGCTCCAAGAGCAAGAAGAAGGGCGGGACAAAGAAGAAGCCATTTTTAATGATCAAAGAATGCAAAGTGAGGTAAAAAGGGGGAAAAGAGTTAAAAGTTTGAGATCAAAGGGAACAGCCAAAAAGAAAAATAGTCTGAAAAAGAAGTACAACAGAAAGGAGAAGCAGAAAAGAAAACTACAGAAGGGAAAATTAGAGAGAGAAGGATATTTAAAAAGGGATGAGAAAAAGGGAGAAAGATAGAAAGGGAAAGAACTTATGAGGGACAAAAACAGGACATAAAGAAAAGGGGGAAATGTACTATTTATTTATTTATTTATTTATTTGATTTGATTTGTCAATCGCTTACAAGATAATAGGTATAAGTATATACATAGTTATGAATACATGAAATGGGTACATATAAGAAAAATAAAAGAAACAATAGGACAGGGATGGTAGGCACGTTGGTGCACTTATGCACGCCCCCAACAGACCTCTTAGGAAAGGGGTGAGGTCAATAGAAGACAGTCTAAGGTTAAAGTTTTGGGGGTTTGGGGAAGAAACCACAGAATCAGGTAGAGTATTGCAGACATTGACCACTCTGTTGCTGAAGTCGTATTTCCTGCAATCAAGTTTGGTGCGGTTAACCTTGAGTTTGTATCTATTGTGTGCTCTTGTGTTGTTATGGTTGAAGCTGAAGTATTCATTGACAGGTAGGACATATGATTTTATATACCATACTTAGATCAGACCGAAGACAGCGTAATTCAAGGTTTTCTAGGTCTAGAATTTCAAATCTGGCGGCATAAGGTATTCTACAATGAGTAGAGAAGTGGAGAACTCTTCTTGTGAAATATTTCTGGACTTTCTCAACTGTGCTAATATCAGATACATAATGTGGGTTCCAGACTGATGAGCTGTATTCGAGTATTGGTCAAGCAAATGTTTTGTATGCTCTAGTTAGTAGTGTGATATTACCAGAGAAAAAGCTACGTAGGATTAGGTTAACAACTCTTAATGCCTTTTTGGCTACGTAGTTACAGTCGGCTCTAGCACTTAGATCATTAGAGATGAGTATTCCAAGGTCCTTTACTGAGCTTGGATCATCAACAAGATCTTGACTATTCAGCTTGTATTTTATTTTCTGAATTTTTTTTGTCAATATGTAAGCATTTATTTGTTGAGATTTGAAGTTGCCATTTGTTTGACCATTCTGATACATAGTCAATATCTTTTTGAAGGGTAGCAGTATTGTCTGTGGTATTGAACAGCTTTACATCATCAGCGAAAAGAACGCAGTTGCTCTTAATATGATCACAGAGGTCATTTATGTAGAGTATGAAGTGAGTTGGTCCTAGAACACTGCCTTGGGGGACACCACTATTGACAGGTACAGAATTTGATAGGACACTCCCAATTTTAACCATTTGTTGTCTGTTTGACAGGAATGCTTCTACCCAGTTATGCAGTTGTCCAGAGATACCATAAGATTTTAGTTTTAAGAGTAGTTTGTTGTGTACCACTGAATCAAAGGCTTTACAGAAGTCTATATAGATTGCGTCTATTGCTTTGCCCTGATGGAGTTGTGTAGTCCATATGTTTTTGCAGTGTAAGAGTTGCAGATTACAGGATAGTTTTTTTCCTGAAACCAAATTGTTTAATGGAGAGTAGGTTGTTTGTCTCTAAGTGGAGGATAATGGATTGGTTAATAATTGATTCCACGACTTTACAGGTGACGCAGCATAAGGAGATTGGTCTGTAATTTTCAACTAGGCTAGAGTCTCCCTTTTTGAAGATGGGGATGACCGTGGCTTGTGACCATAGGTTAGGCGAAGAGCTAGTCCTGAAAATTTTTACTAGGATTAAAGGTATTTGCTCAGCTAGAAAACACAGAGACAATGGTTAAATTAAGTTAAAAGTGAGAATTCTGCAAAGGTACAAAAGATAGTATTGTGACAGTAGAATACTATAATGAGTTAGAAATGAATAAGTAAATAATCTATGAGATAAAACTGTACTGTTATGTAATGGTATGTTTATTTATAATTAATGCAATAATAAAGAAAGGAGAGAAACATTGTAATTGTTTCTAAAGATTGATAAAATATTAAAAAGAAATGTGAAAGATATATAAGGAAATTTATACCCGTTACTAGAATGAATTTGAATAATTATTTTGCTTATTAATAGTAAATAATTTATAAGATAAAACTGTATGACTATCCAATGGTATGCTTATTAATAATTAACATAATAATGAAGAAGGGAGGGAAACATTTCAATTGTTCTCAAAGATTGATAAATATTGAAAAGAAACGTGAAAGATTTACAAGGCTCATACCAGTACTAGAATGAATTTGAATAACTATTTTGTTTACTAATGTTTATATATACATATATACATATATACATATATACATATATACATACACACACACACACACACACACACACACACACACACACACACACACATATATATATATATATATATATGTTTTCTTAAGTTTTCGCGGGTACTTACATGTATGGTGTTCGGCTTGGTTCGGGTATTTTCCCACGTCATTGTAGTTCTTTTAAAGTTGTAGCAACGTTTCAGCAGAATCTCATCTGCCATCATCAGGCATATATATATATACCCTGTTTCTCCAACAATATGGCCTCCCCCAATAGGAAGTCCCAGCATATTTTATAGGCATGAAATGAAATTAAGCCCTTCCCCCCAAATTAAGGCCTATATTAAAACATTTGAAATGGGGGGGAATGGGGGGGGCTTGTCATTAGGAAGCACTTTTGTTGCACACCCGGATATGGTGCTGCCTGCGTTGACCCCGATATGAAGTGCCCCACCAACGCTGAGGTCAACATCCAAGCCATCACTGCCTGCCCGCCCAAAGATGCAAGGGGAGGAATTAAGTCACCCCTGAAAAGACGGCCTAGCCATTTTTTCGGGGCTCAAAAAAAAATAAGACCCGGCCTTATTATATGAGAAACACGGTATTTATTTACAATTACATGGATATTCTGTGTTTTGTACAGGACTCAACACTGTACATAATGCTCCCACTTTTTGTTCTCCTTTT